ACAGGGATCCTGAATTGAACGACATACTGAGGGTAGGGTTGAATTTAATGGGGTTGAAAAGTTCCTCTGCTACAACTAGAAAATCTTATAGTAAGTGGTCGCTCACTGTTTACTGCCGTATTGATTTTGTAATCGTAATTCAATAACTCGGTATTGATCTTCTTCCCGAACTGGTGCGACATTTAATCGAGCCAGGTAACAGTTTGGTACGGTATTATTCTGAGTGGTACTCTCGAATCGGAAATTCTCCCACGATTGACCGATCTAAATTCAAATTATGAGAAAAATTTGAATAACTAAGATTGAAATGGCGGTGGGTACTTGAAATCACGACTCCATACCTGTAAATCATTTTTGTCAATGCTGAAAATGACCTCTCTGGGTGGTCTCGGCATCGGCTCCGCGCAATAATGTACAGTAACGACGGCGTTATTACTGCCAGGCGCCTGAAAAATAACTGTTCAGTAGACAGAAGTAAGGGAAACCCTGCATGGTTTGAAAGTTGAGCATACGGAGAGCTATGGATGGTATGGCATAAAAAGCGCTTGGAATGAAAAAAATCTGTTGCATTCCCGTCCCAGTGCGACGCGTAAGTCGGAAATCGGAAGCCGGCAAACGGGTAGGCAGCGTTCACGCTACACGGAAATGAAGTTTTACAAAACAGGCTTTTTGAAAATGCGGCGATAGAAGGTCTCGAACAGATGGGATTTGACAATATGGTAAGTAGTAATGTAACTTGAGTAATAGCCTTTACAAAAAAGGTACTCGACGAACCTGTTCGATTGTCGGTTGAGTGTCAGATTGCATGGGTGGTCCAGTGACTTGAATGTTTAGCGTGTTCGTTCCAGGAGTCTCCAATGCTGGAGAACATTCTGGGGCACCTTGACTGACATAGGAACATGCGGAACACCAATATTGCCCAGACAACGAATAGTTTGAGACGCGGAACGAACAGATGGCATTAAGACGCTAAAGATCAGAAGATTTACGACTGGACACGTTATGAATGAATAATACTGCAAATCAGATGAATTAGTAAGGGCTATTAAAGAAGGGGGAACACCTAAATCATTTAATATTAGCATACCACGACATTCGGTGGGATAGGTCGATCGCGAGGTGGTTCGGTGACCTCCTGGTATTGTCCGTCAAATCCTTGAGCACAAGGAGCGTCAACAACCTACAATAATAGGTTGATTGGTGTACGTCCATTTTATTTACGCCATTCTATCCTCATATAGAGAAAACCCCCCAAGAGATTTCAAATGCTGGCAGCTCACCTGTCCATTCGATTTGCGCAGCTTCCAGAAGACGACTGGTCGTGGATTGCCTTCGACTTGACAGCCGAGATTTATTTGCTGATTCATTTCCAGACGATTCCCGGCTTGAAATGGTGCGGCCGATTGAAGGGTGGCGAAATTGTCTTGAATCAGGCGAGCGGATGCTAAACGATAGAGAAATAGCCGGACTCCTCATGGGTAATCCCAGCACATCCCCATGATGGCATTTTTTCACAATTTTACTGAATCGTTACAGGTAACAAACGTACAGTAAGGATCGATTTGAACGGCCTGACTGGTCGCCATTTCTGTGTCCGAGTAGAGACCATTGTTCGCTTGGCATTGAATACTTTGGCCGATCATCTCTGTGCCAATTGTGATTTCCGCACCATTACCGCTTAACAGATGGTAATCAGATTGGCCGTTTTCGATAGGTGTTTCCTAGGTAATCGCGCTGGTTACCCACCTTGTCACCACTCCGTTCTTCAACCACCGGAACACAGTAGCTGGGGGATGAGCCTGGACAGCACATCGCAATGTCTTCCGTCGCCCACTTTGTTGACATAGGCCATCGGCTCCCCGGGCACATTCCACATAAAATCTAAACGATGACGTCATTTTCAGGTGTATTGCGAGGTGGGACAGGTGATTAATGGGACATACCGGTAGCCTTGGCTAGCGATCAAGACAGGTCCCTGGCCGCTTGCATCGACGACATGCGGCTGACGCAAATATCGGACATCTACGGTAGCTGGTTGTGAATCGACCGTTCCTACATAGAAACCCTTCACTTTCATACTTCAAATAATGGATTTTCCCAGAAGTCTACCTCCATTAAGAGCTGCCTGACACATAATGGTGGCTCCAGTCCAATTCGTGTTAACAGCGACATTACTTAAAGCGACCGTCTGTAAAGTATAAAAATAATGTTCGGGGATTAACAGTGAAGGCGAACAATTGTGGGAGACGAAAAGAAAGGCCGTCTGGGAAGAAAAGGTCAAAGACGAACTGATGATGAAGAAGTGGGCCAAAAAAAATAGCGTGTGAGAAGTGCTAGACCCTCTGAAACGTTCTTCAAATCCGCGTTTATGCATCGCCTAAGAATCGAATGGAAATATTTGCATATAGAAGGGTTCCTCCTGTTCCCACGGGAATCCCAGGAACACACGAGGTCAATTCGTCAAATTCTGTCCGAAGCTGTTCGATTTGAATACAATCGCATTACTGGTAACACTTGAGTACCTTTTCCCTCTCGGGCTATATTTGCACGATGGCTCACATTCCCAGATTCGATTGCCAACAATACGACTCGTAGCCACAATTATTTATTTTAGATCGAACGGGATTGCTCAGCGTTAAGGATGACCGTTCTCATGGCACTCGAGGGAAATGTGAATATGAATGGGTGAATAACTCTTGAGATAGGGCCCCCATATTTCCTTCCCACATAGCGAACGATGTGACAAGAACCCATACCGGGTGAATGCATCATTTTCACGCCTTGTTGTCTCTCTTCATGATTAATCATTCATTAAAATAATCTCCGCCCTAAAACCATCGGGCCAGACGGACCCCATCGGTCAACGAGTGCTAATCCATAGATTGAGCGGTCGGTGCCTTACAGGCGCCATCGCCATCGTGGCGGGGCCCTTTCGAATCTGTATGGGACGCTTAGCCTTGACCCCTACGCTGAGGCTTATTTTGCGAGAATGATCAGGTAACCATCGCCCTCCCATGGACGGAACACAATGAGAACGTCCAGTTGCTCCACCCTAACCTCATCCGCATTCCTAATAATTACCAAAAATTGGGTCATATTAGTTATTATGATTGTTGCACTAAAGGCTCCTAATCAAGAATTAACCCGACAGGATTGGAACGCGGATGTCCCGGAGCGACACTTTCTTCCCTGGTGTTAATTGAATTCACTTTCACACTCTGTGGGGACAGCCGTAAATGGACTCGGACATGCCTGAAGACAAAGAAACGGAGACCGGGTGTGAAGAGAACGGTTTCCTCGACGCTTTTATCGCTTGGTTTCCCATCCCTCCAATATTGAATGCCCTTTTGAAGAGGAAGGGGAAGTGCTTCCGTATGCACCGTATCGTTCAAAGAGCAACAAAAGCGTCAAGGTAAGGATGAGTCAAAATGTGTCTGATTAGAAACCGAAAGGTCATGGTCCCGTACGCGATGTGGGCGTTTTATGTTGTGGACATAAAAAGCGCAGGCACTCAATTCAATTGTCAGGATGTTCCGTATTCAGTAGAAAAAAAAAGAAACGAGACAAGGATCGTAATGATGGCGATGATCATGGGAAGGAGGATACGTGGGCGGTATAAAGCGACTCACCGGAAAACCAGCACTCCGTGTGTGGTCTTGAGCGGAATTCAATACGTTCGCCATATCGGTGATGTTCTTCTCGAGACAGTCAATGCATACAAATCGCAATTGACTGACAGGGGCCTCAGAGACACAGTAAATAGTCTCTTTGGTAGTCGTGCCCAACATTGTCCATACGATTTGGTTTAGTTGTTGAGCATTGGACACGGCAAATGGCATACCGGTGATCTTCACCTGGGCTCCAAGCATTTGTTGCATTTGAGCTAAAAAATAAACACAATCAAATAGCTAAATCAAAAAATCAGGAAAAATCAATAACTGGACAGTACAAGGTTCAGGAAGCTTACCGGAACTCCGTCCGGCCATAAATAGTAGTAACAATATCAACATAACCATGTCCTTAAATGACTCAATCAACGAACATGTTATTTGTCAACAAAAAACAAAAGTAA